GCATTTAAGCAACTTATCACCAACATACTGGCTGTGTCCAAATTCAGAGGCTGGGTCCTCTGAAGGCCGAATTTGTTGGCTGCACACGTCACAGCACCACGCCGGAGGTTGTCCAAATTCAAAGACTCCTCCAGTGCAGCCAACAAATGTGTCCTTCCTTCGCCCCGAATGAAAAAAGACAGGCCCAATGGATCCTATTTATCCAATACTTTTCTGAAATTGTACTTCAAGTAGTATTTTCAAATCTATTTTATGTTTTTTCTACTTCATTTTTTAAAAATCATTTTCAAACTAATGTTTCTAACTAATTGTATGTACTTTGTGTAATAGTGTAGTGATGTAACTATTCACCTTTTTTATTGTGATAAAGGGACAAAAGTTTAATGCATCTTTGGTAGAGGTGGGGTGTTGGATTGACTCCCTCCATTCCACTAGGAGGCTGAATATCTTCTTTACTTTTGATCTGAAAGAGTGTGAAACCGAAAGTTACTTTAATAGAAACAAACATCCTAAATGACTTAAGAAAACTTCTACATTTACATTTAAATACAATGGCCAACATAAGCTGTTTTGTTATTGCAATATTAAGCATTTTTGTAACTGTGTAGTTTATTTTTAGTGTTGTAAACTATTGAGAAAATGTTTTTCATGCATGAGTGTTCTGAAGAGATTAGCATTATGGTAGCCTTGTTCAAACCAGACCCTGTCCTTCACTTTGCTTCGTACAAGGGTCTGGACTTGATGCATAGAGAATCGATTTCTTGCAGGAGGCGTGGCCTCTGCTGAAGTTTAAAATGATTGGATCAGTTGGCTGCGACGTATGTCGCTGTGACGGAGGCTAAGCTAAGAAGCTAACCGGAAATCTCGTGTGCTGTAAACAACCCTACTGAGAGAAGAAAAGTACCGAGCCAAACAAAACGACTGTAAATGAGAGCTGCTGCTTTGTCAGACAAATTTATTTTAATTTGGAAKHSTTATCAACACGGACTGGCTTCATTCACTTCCTCCACTGCCGTATGCTAAACTAACAAGCAGACACTGCACAGAAAGTCGACGTTCTGTTCTCTGATTGGCCTGGCTAAAAATCTGCCAGCGAAATCCATCTCAGTGGGAGAAGTCTTAGATGGAGCAGTGAAGGAAAACTAGAATTGAACAGAGCTGCGTAGGAAGGCAAGGACAAGGCTAGCATTATGGTAGTTCCACCAGGACCCTAATTTGATCATCTAAATTATATTTTCACATTAATAAAGTTGCAGTTTTTACCTGATTATATGCTCTGTGAGGTTTCCTGAATGTGTTTAAAACCAGAGTAACTAAGCTGACAGAATTAGTCCTGTTTGTTGGAACATTCAGGTCCTGATGACGATGTTTTAAAGTCAGGGGTTGATCTCCTGCCAGAAAACATCTCCAGAGCACCGGACTGCCTGCTTTTTGATTTCTGCTTTGTTGTTTCTATTTAAGCCACAACAAAGCCCAATATTTATTCAAATGTAAAAGCTGGGATTGAATTGAACCACTTAAAGGCCCTCACTTCTCAAAGAAAAACTCAGCTGTTGCAAAGTCTTGTTTATTTCCATTAGAAACTTGGATTTATGAGCACATTGGTTCGATTGTGATCTGATAAAATGTGGAAATTCAGTCCATGTGTTGGAGTAGATTCTGTCTGGAGGAAATCATTCCATTCAGAACCACCCACAGGATTCATTTTAGCAGCTCTCTGTGTGCCTCCAGAAAGCAAAGTCGCAGAAAGCAGCAGTCCATTACTTTTAAATGCTCAGTAAAAGCAAACAGCATGGTGACCTGCTCCGTCTGCTCTGCTGCAACACAATGTGACTGTTCTGCAGCAGGCAGATGCTTAACTCTTCACACCTCTGCTGGTTATATCAGCATGAAGAACTCATCATGTTTGTAAAAAAAACATTAATTTACTCCAGATTTATTTAACCCTTTCAGTTGGTCCTAAATTAAAAGAAATGGTCCAGCAGGATTCTGAGCTACACTAGACTTGTTGCTGCACTAATCTGGTTCTCTCATCATGTCCTGCAACACGTCATCCCCTTGTGTTACTCAACAAGACTAAAACAAAGTAATTTAAGTTTAACTGTAACTTATGGAAATATATAAATAACTAGATTCACACAATTCATTCATTGTTACAGGGTTCGAATGGCTGCTAAAAGTTGAAAATGTTTAGACATGAATGTTATATTTTCAATGTTTTAAAAGTATTTGGATTATTAATAAAGAGGTTTAAAGTTCTTGAAACTCTAACTAAGAGGGTTTCATCAGACTTCACTGTTCAAACCAGCTGACTTGTATTTATTGTGTTTATTTCTGATTTTTTTCTTTATTCCATCCCTCATTTCTCCTCAGCCTGCCACGCCCACTCACACCTGCACCTAGTGTTGAGGTGAACTTCATCTAGTACTTCATTTAATAAGCAGACAGAAACAAGAGAAGCTCTGGACCAAATGGAACCACAGCTAGATTTGTTTCCAACTGTCATTACAAACAAACAAACAAAAAATACTGTATTTCATTTATGTAAAAACAAAAAGACTGAAAGATTATTTTAGCTTCATTGCTATTCTGATGGTGAAGTGGCAGGTTCTTTAGTTGTTAGACTAGACATGTGAGCCAGATTCTTTCTGTTATAAACAGTTTGCCATATTTAGTCAGGGATGTTCTGGACAGTGGCGAAAAACACCAGGTCAAAAAGTTACTTTCATTAGTGTGTGTGGGACTCAAGATTTGTTTACAATGGAGAAAGAACAGGGGGTGGACCGATTAACGGGAAATGGGTGACGGAAATTAGTTCTGGGAAATGTTACATAAAAGTTTCCAGTATGTGTGTATGTGAGAAGTCATCTCAAATCTTGGCTTAGTTTGATCTGATGACGTGCATTGAATGTACTGTATAAAAGACACAGAAGTCATGACTTTGGGGGTTCTCTCTCATTCTCGGTTTGTTCAGTGTCTGACTGAGAACCTCGTGATTTCAATAAAACTCCCTCAGCTGGCCATCAACCAAGTGTCTTCTGCGTCTTGATTTAAGGAACAACAATGGTAACAAAGACTGACTCAGCTGAGAGGTACAGAGCTCAGTATGGAGAAATTTTAAACAGTGCACTAGGTTCATATTGCAGATATTTGGACTTTGTAATTATGGACACCACAGACTGATTTAATAAGACGTGAAATCATTCAGGATGCAGGACAGTCTTAAACCCAAACTAACTTCTGATGCATGAAAGAAGAGCGACACAGCTGTCACATTACAACAGAACGCAGAGGGTTGAGCACTCAGAGAGACTCCTTTATGTGACGTAATGGCACATTTTTCCAACAGGATGGTTTCCTGAAGGATGCCCACTAACCTGAGGCAGATGAACAGGAGCACTTCAGCTGTAATTGAGTGCCTGTAGTCGGTGTCCTGGCAGGAGATGTGGTCAAGAGTATTTTTGACAAGCATCTGACCTCAAAGTGCACAAGTGTCCAACTTGAGGCATTGGCAATGCAACAGCAAGCTCTGCCTCCTGGATTGGGCAGTTCCATTTAAACAGTGAGAGCAGACGGCTGCTATGTCTCCCTATGACGCCAGTACAATGTTTCAAATACTTTGTAAATGCCTGACTAACATTATGTTAGATCATGTAAAACTTAGTAAGGAGGTGAAAATATGCATTTCTTTTGGAAGAGATGTATTTATGTATTTGTGTTTCTGTTACAGTAGCATCTCTTTTCTGGAACAAGGAAGAAAAATTTATGTTTTGAATATATATANGCATTAGTACAGTACTTACTCAGGCACACTACTTAACTCAGGTCTGATACTGCTCTGCGGGGCACTTTGACAAGTCCCATATACAACTGTGTGCTGTACTGAGTGAAATGACTGAAAAGGCACGTAAGGTTATGAATATAACCATGGTTCCTTGAAGGAATGGAACGAAGTACAACACCTTGTTGGCCCCGCATCTCAAAGGCTCGGTGAAGGGCGGTATCTAACTGAGTAATGACGCTGGTGATTCCGAACTTACAGGGTGAAGGCGGAGCCTGTCACCCGACATTCAACGTCACCACGTCACCGGTCTAAAGACGTGATTAGAGGTGGCTTCAGCCAGGCGCGCAAGGGCGCACGTGTCCCATATACAACTGTGTGTTGTACTTCGTTCCATTCTTTCAAGGAACCGTGGTTATATTCATAACCTTACGTTCTCAATGTATATGATGCCACTGAGTTTGGTTATAGCTAAACATATTCTCCAGTTTCATTTTTATGCAGAAAATATACAAGTGTATTTGCTAATACATCCTTTGGACTGTATTTTGAATGGTTTTAAGGATATTAGAGAGTGGTTTTCACAAAAGTTTCTGCCTTTGAATGCTCTTTATGTCGGAATAAGTCAGAGTTCTCTATATGGACTCAAATTGGTCCAGAATGCTGCTCGACTCTTGACCAACACTAGGAAGCACAATCGCATTACGCCTGGACTTTACTTCCTTCATTGGCCCCCAGTTCGTTTTAGGGTTCACTTTAAACTTTTAATGCCTGTTTTTAAAGCTGTTCATGGTATTGCACCTTTTTATTTGTGTGATCTTTTAACATCGTCCAGAGTTCTTCAGTCTGCTGACCAACCTCTTTTGGAAGTCCCCAGATCAAAGTCCAAACAGTGGGATGATGGTTCATTTGCTGTAGCTGGTTCAACATTATGGAATTCATTATCGCTTGAGTTGCGCACGATCAATAACTTATTTTTGTTCAAAACGAAGCTGAAGACACATTTATTTAGAACTGCTTTTGGTACACTATAATTCTTTGTTATTGTTATTTTTCTACCAATGTTGTTGGTTTTCATTCATTTTTTTATTACTGAACTAATGGAAAGCACTTTAGTTCAGTAGTCACTGTTGTAAAGTGGTATATAAATAAAAATTGATTGATTGATTGATTGATTGATTGATTGATCCTCACAAATATAAAAAAGCATTCTTCTTACTTTGTGTTTTTCCAACAGGATCTGGACCTCTATCACAGAAGCCACTGTCATTTTTTGGTCGGCAGCCATCTTGTCTTGAGCTGTGTCAATCAGGTCTGTGAGGTCACGAAGTGCTGCTTCGTACTGAGCCTTCAGAGACAAGCCCTGGTTTAGGCTACTACGTCTGGAGCCCACCATGAGCACCAGCTCCTCGTACGCATCCTAAAAAAAAAACACAGACATCAGTGGGTCAAACAGTTTGCTGTATGGAGCTGGAATATTTTGACTTTGAGAAAAAAAACTGTTACCTGTAGTTTTAGGAGCTCCTGCTTGGAGGTTTGATCTGATTGGAGGCCGTCAGCTCGGCTCCGCAGCTCAGCCACTCTCTGTTCAAACTCCCGTAAGCTGTCCTCCAGCTCTGCCAACATCTATAAAGGACATGAAACATTCAGCAGACAACTCTATTTTTCTGGTATGGTGCTTTGTTTCTTCTTCAAAAAGTACCTCTATCTGTTTGGATGCAGGTCGGTCAGCAGTTCCAGCCATCTTATGCAGCAGCTGATGTTTACATTCAGTCAGGGCTGTGAGCAACATCCTCAGTTCATTCTGGTTATAACAACAGAAAAACACGTCCAAGATTAACAATGCATGCAGACCTTTTCTTTAATAGGATACTTTATACGGTACAGTACGATACGATACGATGCAATCAATACAATACAATACAATACGATACGGTATGGTACGGTACAATACGGTACAGTATGATACGATACGGTACAGTATGGTATAGTACAGCACGATACGATATGGAACAGTACAACACGATACGGTACAGTATGATACGATACGATACGGTACAGTACAATACGATACGATACGATACGATACGATATGATACAGACCTGGAAAGTCGAGTGGTCCTGCAGCCTGTCCCTCATGCTGTCACAGTGTTGCACAAGAGCCGAGTCCAGGAGGCCCATCCTCTCCTGCAGACCCTCGAGTGTGTCCTCCATCAGGGCTCGCTCCTCTCCTCCACACAGCCGAGCGGTTCCTCCACCCAGAAGGTCTCTGCACTGGTTCACCTCTCCAGTTAACCTCTTCAGACGTTTACTCAGAACCTGGACAGAGAGGCAGAGGTCATTTCTTACTTCCAGCTGATGCTAGAACACTACTGACAATTAAATAATAATAATAATACTAATAAGAGAATTTGCATTTCCTGTGAAAACGCTTATTGTTGAAAGATTTATGCTGAAAGTTGCTGTCAAGTAAAAGTAACTAAAATTAGCAAAAAGAAGCTAAAATTGGCTGAAACCAGTTGAAATTAGCCGACAGACGGTGAAAGGAGAATAAATGAATAAATTAGCAGAAAAAGTGAGTACATAAATTAGCAACTTGTTGTAAAATACCTAAAACAGCTGAGATTAACTGAAATAAAGCTAAGAAGTAGCTGAAAAAAGCAGAAACTACCACAAAGACACAGAAAGAGCACGTTTGTTGATTTAAGAAGTCAGAAGCTGAAATATCCTACAAAAATGAATTAGCTGAAATAAAGCTAACATTTTTTTTGTTATTAAAGTTTTTATTTATTTTTAAAATATATATACAGTATAATCTATCATTTGTTGTAAATCATCACGTACGTAAGGTCTTGTAAAGTCTTGAAATTTCACCTTGAAAGGGCTTGAATGTGGCTTTGGGAAAGACGTAAAAACTCTTGACATTTAGTCTCCAGATTGCTAAAGAGTTTTGATGAAGAACAAATAAAATCTGCACTTAGATGAATGTTTCAGATTGAAAGTTCTTTTTTTGGATCCAAAAAAAGATTGAAAGTTCTTGCCTTCATCACCCTCATCATCATCATCATCATCATCATCATCATCAGATTCTCTTAATTCTTGAGTGGCTTCCATGACTGGAATGTAACATTTCACTGAGTCATTTTCATTCCATTAAACTGCATCCTGTCAGCTACATTAAACAATTACTGCAGTAATCGTTTAATGTAGTTTACAGAATTCACAAAGCGTCAAAGCTTTACAAGGTCCTGGTCTGAAACATTGTGGGAGAGGAGTTGTTGCAGCAAAACTGGGGTGTAAACATGAGAGAGAGTAGATAAAATATTCAGGAAGACATGGATGTTTTATATGGAGGACCAAACCTATCATTATTGGAAATAAATGTATAAATATATAACTGGCGTATTAAAATAAATTATAGGGTCAAAAAGAAGTTTGACAAATAAATTATTGTGCCATTAAATCAATTACATCAATTATTTANGTATACAGATATCCTCATTGGCAGCAAAACCAACCACAATAAACAAAAATAGTTCTTTGTCAACTTTTTCAAAATGGCAGTTTATCACAGGAGTTTAGTTGTCCCAGTATTACAGGAGAGGAAACAGTTCCAGGCTTTCTTGAAATCTTCTATGTCATTATTTAGCCTAGCCAACATTTGTTCATATGAAACTATTTCCAACATTATTTCCAACCAGTTTTTAACATTCGGAACAGATGATTTCCATCATCTGAGGATTTATCTGACTGCCGCGACCGTCCCCACATGCACCACTGTAATTTGGTGCTTTGATATATTGGGTAATACTGTTTGATCCCCCAATAAACATAATCTTGGTGAAATGGGTATGAAATAAAGCTGACATTAACTGAAAAAATAGCTAAAAGATGTCTAAAAAGGCAGAAGACAGCTGGAACTACCAGAAATCAGCTGAAAGAAGTACAAAAACTACTAAATTAAACGAATAGCTGAAAGGAGCAGAAAGATAGCTGAAAAAGGAGAAAAAAAGCTAAAATTAGGAAAAAAGAAGCTAAAAGAAGCTGAAATTAGCATTTAAATTAGGAAAATAAAGGCAGAAAATGTTAAATATCCCAAAAATAATACATTACTGAAATAGCAAAAGTCATAGCCAGAATGTCCTGAAGGAGCTGGACGTTTTGATGTATAAATTGTAGAAAAACACAAGAATTGCAGAATGAGCTAAGTGCCGAAAAACATACAGAAGTCAGACGGATCATGTCTATAAGCATCCACACAAAAACAGGTTTGTTTCCATTTACCTCCAGGTTTGTGAGCTGAGTCTCTACATCTTCTGACAGCAGCACAGGACCAGAAAGCAGGTGATTCTCTGCTGTGTCCAACCAGGAGGAGGCTGCAGATACTGCAGCGTACAGGTCCTGCTGAACCGTCGTCCCTCCAAACGATGCTGCCAGTTTACTGTGGCTGTCCGCTGCCTGTGGGCGGGAAAAAACCAGCATTTAACAAATAAAGCTTTGACATCCTGATTAAGGTAAAAACATTTTCCAATAAACTGAAATTAAAACGACGTAATTAGTGTTTTACCTCTTCTTTGATTCGTTCCAGAGTCCGGCTACAGGCCTCGAACAAGGCTCCAGGACAGGAAGAATCCTGGTTGAAAGCCTCGCTCCTGAACGCCACATTTGGACTGGTCAGACGAGACCGGTGAAGGACCTGCGAATCAAAACACGAAGCTCACACTAACCGAAAATACATTAAACGTAAAAAAAGAATCTCTGCACACATCGTAATCTTTATATTATGTCCTTCTAATGCAGGTCATAAAACATTTGAAATTCTGCACGCGCACCGGGCTGAGCTGGTCTTGCTCAAAGGAGTTGAGGGAGAGCTGAAGTTTGGTGCTCTGATCTTTATTTAAGTTTTCCCATCGTTGCCTCAGCTGGTCCAGAGGAGACGAGGTCTCAGCCTCCAGCAGCACTCCACCAGGTATGGACATCTCACTGCCAAGAGAAAAAAAAAGTTTTATTATAACTGAAGTGTTTTTTTTATATTTGTTTTGCGACAATAGATGGAATGTACCTTTCCCCATTTGTTGAGTTCTGCTGGCTGAATAACTCCTCCCCAACACTGGCTACAGACTGAAGCAGCTTCTTCTGTTTCTCCACCTGATCCTGGAGCTCCTAAAAACACAAAACTCTTCATATTCATTCACAGATAATATTTTCTCCATTTCCTAAAACTGTTTTTTGKTTTACAACTAAGTTGTCCTTATTGGGCAGACTAGTAGTTGTTTATTTTTACCCTCTGTCGAAGCAGGTTGTCATGGTGCTTCTGTGTTCGGCTCAAGCGAGCCTGAGACAACCAGTCCTGGACATTTGGACTCTGGGACAGAGACGAGTCCGGCTCACTGTCCTCCTGCTCCTGCAGTGAACCCTGGAGAAAGAAATGTTAGAAAATACCGTTCAGTTTTTACAGACAGAAAGAGTGCTTCTGGAAGAAAAAAGCAAATGATTTGATGATGATAGAATTACGACTAAACATAAAACTTTGCTGCTTTATGTGTCGGAGAACAACTTTCTGACTAAATAAGATGTTTTAGATGAAATATTCTTTTCTTTCAAGGAAACGTCTCGTGTGTTTAAAGGTGTTGTATTGTCTGAGCCTCAGTGAGAGACACTGGCTGTTGTCGTGGAAAGCAGTGGAGCTTTATGAAAGGGCATGAATGACCTTTAGTACATTTTGCACAATTAGGCTGCAGCCCAGTTCAACAGCAGGCAAACTGAGCAAAAAACATCAGGAGGGAGAAGGAAACGCGACGGACCTCACCTGTATGTCCACCTGTTTGTCCTGCAGCATCTGCTGCAGCTCCAGCAGGCTGTCTTTGAGGGAGCGCAGCTTGAGCGTGAGCTGCTCCGCCTCCTCTTTGGTTTCAGCGCGGCCCTCCAGCAGCAAGCTCTCGCTGTGGACGGAGAGCTCGGACAGGTAGGAGACCTTCTGCTCGATCTCGAACAGCATGTTCTGGAAACACGAGAAGGGGGATTTTGTTTCTTTTCAGTCACTTTTTCTGTTCGCATTCCTTTGAACCRGGCCTCGGCTCGTCCAGAGGATCTACTCTGAATCTGCTAATCACACTCAGACAGCTTTTAGAACTGGACCTGTGGAACCACAGGAGGCATATGTGAGCTGTAATCAGCTTATTGTTCCCCAGCTGCTCCAAACACACTGATTTCCTTTTGCCGGAGCAACAGGACAGGCTGAAATGCAGCTGAGGAGTAAATTATAGAGCAGAAATATTGATCCCTGCTTGAAAAGATGAATTAAAACAAATTTAGACATGTATAGAACATTATACAAAATGCTGACACGTGCTGCAAGCAAAGTTAAACCCAGAACATATGATCGAGAGCAGCAACAGTTGGGAATATCAAGTAGCATCATTACTAAATAAAGTAATTAGAAGTTTATCAGCTGTGGTGAGCATAAATTACCACATAAAGAAAGATAAATAAAAAGTATTTCATCTAAAAGGATGATTTTGAAATTAAAGCTAAAATATCAATCGTTATAACATCCAAAGTTCTCCACAAATAAAGGTGCTGCTACCAAGTAGGTGAAGGAATTTATTAGCTAGATACTGATTTAAAGCACCACACCATTTGTCTTAGTTTCCTTTTTAAGGCTTGACTTTTATAATCTATTGTTTGACTATTGTAATGTCCTGATTAAAAGAGTTTTAGGTACATGCCCGAAACACCTTGACAACACATAATAAACTGTTAATAAAAACATTAGATGAGCATTGCTGTTCAGAGCMTCTGCGATTCAGCCGTAGGCCTGTAGGGGGCGTACCAGGCACTGAAGATCCCTGTATATATAGACCGGAACTTCCGGTTTCAGGTGGCGCTGCTCTGATTGCTTCAGCGTAAGCAACAAAGGCTCACTCGTAAACCAGATCTGGGTTGTATGGTCATCTTCTCTTCACGTTTTAATCTATTCAACATTTATGTGGTTTCATCTCGATTTCAGTTAATGAACACGAAATTATCTTACATAGGGATGTGGATAAATTTTTAATCCTACATCAATATTAAATCTTGACAGCGGATTCCAAAAGAAAATTTCAAACCATACAAAAYAACACCAMAATCATGTGATTATCTCAAGTATGAGGGAAGTTATTGATGTTTGTTTAGGTGAAATCAGCTCATGTTTTCTTGTTCACAGCAGAACCAATGTGACCATTTCACCTTGTTCTTATCTATTTATGCTCATAACTTACTTTGTGTTTAAGATATCGCCATGAAATTTTAAGAAAATATTCACATTCTGGTTTTTGTAGTTAACATCTTGTATTGTAAAGACTACCAGTAATAAAACTTAATAATAGCCAATGCAAAAGTAGTAGAAAAGGTATAAAATAATATTAAAGGCAAACTGCAGCATCAAATCAACTTAATGTGTCTTAGAAAATAAGGAAATTAAAACAATTTAAAAACAATGTGGACATSTGTTTTGTAAACAAAGCTACTCAACCAATGATGGCGTCTTAAATGTGTCAGGTGATGAAGACGAGCGTCAACACACTTTGCTAACAAGTGCTACTACGGATAAAAAAAACAAACTTTGATGTTTCAAATCATCAAATTTGGAACAAGGGCAGATAAAATAATGTTCTTCATGGCAGCTTATCTATTTAAGGGGTCACTAGAAAAACTCGGTGATTTACTTTGATCCTCTTTTCAAAATATTGTCTCTTCAAAACGCATCGACAAAAATKAAAAACTGGAAGACGAGGCTGTAGCTAACTACCTAACGTCGGTGCGCTTTGTTGAAATTCGTAGAAATAACAAAGCAGGAGGAAATAACAAGCAAACGCACCAAGCAGCCTTGCATAATCTAGTCAAAGCAGTTTGGGAAGAAAATGGTAGCAGCTGTTGATGAAATGTCAACATCCCTATACCAAGGGTAAAAAAAAACACTCAGGTTGACTGATGACTGTTTTAGGGGAAAAAAAACAGAGTTTCAAACTAAAACCAGGGTTTCTACAGCTTAAGGCAAGTCAAATTTAAGACTTTTTAATGCTTTTTAATGCCACTTGAAAGGAAATTTAAGACCAACTTCACAATAAACACAAATGTGAAAAAAATWAATTTTTACCCAAATGTTTATTTTAACGCAAAACAACTAGCTGCGGTAAATTTGGTAAACTGTTAAAATAAAATAAATAAATGTTACCAATTATTTTAATGTTTGAGACAAACACTCAATGCGTTAACATTTTTAAGACTTCTGAAAGATTGATTTAAGACATTTTAAGGCTAATTAAGGCCTTATTGTTGGATTGATGAATTCAATGCCTTTTAAGACTTTTTAATGATCCGCGGGAACCCTGAAAATGGTGTTGAACATTAAAGATTTGTTTAAAAACTCTGCCAAGTTTAGAGGAAATTCCGCAGGTTTGCCCTGACGTTTTYTTACAGGGTCAAGAGTTTATGTTTCACTGAAATCACAGCATCAGAGTAAAAGAATGAAGCGAAGCTGCTATTGTGACGAGCGAAGCTTAAGAGACTCCAGAGCCGCTCCTATCAGCTGAGGAAATACGGCCGACGTTCTGCCTGCGGTCAAATGTGTGAAAGCTCTGAGGGGAGCAGGAACGCCCGGTCTGACCTGACAGTCGATGAGCTGCTCCTCCATGTCCATGTCCTCGCTCTGAGGCCGAAGGGCAGAGCTGAGGGTGGCCCGGGTGCTGAGCAGCCAGTGGTCCAGCTCCTCCGCCTCGCTGTGGTAACGCTGCAGCGCCTGCTCCTGCCGCTGCTCCTCCAACTGCTCGCTCAGTTTCTCCTGCAGCCGACACCAAGCACGGGTCAGGACAAAAAAAAAAAAAGGGGGGCAACGACTTCAAGGAAGAACTCGTACCTCCAGCAGCTGGCGTTTCCCAGAAGCCTTCATGCGGATGGTGACCATCCTCTCTCCCAGGACGGTGAGCGTGGAGTGAAGGGCCAGCTGGTCGCCGGCCTTCCCGTCGCCATCGCCCAGCTCCTCGGAGAAACACGTCTGCAGCTCGCCGATTTCCTCCTGCAGCATCAGGATCTCATCCATGAGCGCCTGCAGGAGGAGAAAAACAAATAAATGAATGAGGCTGAGGAAGACGAAGAAGGAAAACCAGTGTTTTCACGCAGTCATCTTGTTTTTGCATCATCTTTGTTTTCTGATGAAAAGATGTCGGCTTCGTGAACACACAGCTGCACTCTGCTCTTCTCTCCTACCAACCTGGTGAGCCGCCATCTGGCTCTCTGGGGTCTTGTTAGGTTCCAGGCCCTCGTTGAGAGCCCCCTCGATGGACTCCATCTTGGTGGAAATGGACTGGAGGGACTCCTGATAATGCTGCTGACGCTCCAGGGCTTCGTACAGACTCTTCTGCTTCTCGCTTATCTGCGCGTGGAGAGAAACGAAGGCCGAGTCACTGCACTGGATCAAAAGGTTTCCCATGATTTACGGGGGGCAGAGTCACGGTCAGTCAGTGTTGTTCTAGATCTACATCAAGATTATTCTACTTATCTTTAGGTTGTGGCTAACGGAGATATTTCATGGATTACTTGTAGGGATTCAATTCATAAAAACTTTATWCATTTCATAAAAAACTAAATCAATTCTATGTACAATAAAAAGACAAGGAAATACAAATATAATGAAATGGAAGGCGGTAGACAGAAGAAATTTTTTTTTATATATGCCCCTTTTTTCCTCGAGTATAAATTCAAACAATAGTAATCTTCAGTTAAACGGGACTAAAGTAATTTTTTTCAGGGTTTTTTAAACTTACATTTGTGTCTGTACTGCTTCTAAAAAAAGTCCAAGCACCAATAAAAAAAAATGCATTCAGAGGTATTTTTACTATAAGGAAATGTATTTTTCTGTCTTGAAATGACCTGTTTTCAAACACTGCAACTTGTGATGTCACAAGTCGCACTCCAGCCCAACCCAACCTGAACCCAGCTCCGCCCACTTCTTCGGTTCTGCTGTTTTAGAACAGTCATGGAGAACAGAGACGTGCGGATTAATTTTATTTTTATTTAATTTTATTTTTGATGGCAATGTTTTAGCAATATTAAAGAAAGTTTGTGTAAATAAATTCACCATGAACTAATTTGGAAAAATAGTACTTTCAACTGATAAGAAACTGAAAGGAAACTTCTGGTGGGGGCGGAGCTAACGTAAACAAAAGATTGGGAGGGGGTTTCCAAGTTTTTCTGGATGTTTAAAAGTAATGTGTTTACCACGTTTTTGAGTGTTTCCCAGGATCTCTGAAGGTCATCCAGGTTAGCAGAGCTGGTTTCCAGCGACGGGTCGTACAGTTCCTGGAGGGGTGCTCGGTTCAGGATGCCTCGACCCTGCAGCATCAGAGTATTGATTATACGCTTCTGTTTGTTCAAAAACAACAGGTCACAGTGGGATAAACATGCTGGATATAAACACGCATTAACTAATCCGAGGAAAAAAATCACTCTGGATTTGAATCAAACTGAATCTCTCTCTAACAACAAGAGTAAAAATACAAATAGTCGCAGGTTAATAGTTAATAAAGCCGATTGTGCTCACACTCACTCTGTTGTTCTTCCACACAAAGGAGCGTTTGTGTAAATTTAGGCCAATCTAGCACAACCTAATGCACGAGGAGAGGTGAGGCTGTTGTATTTTTTAGCTTTTGTTGAAGCAGATTTCTGCTAAGGTTCATTAGTTGTAAACTTTACATGTTTTATGATTTCATCAACATTGTCTTTTTATTCATCATCTACCAAACATTTTAATCTGTTTTATTAATGCCGGACACTCATATTACTGCCTTTATGCTTTTAATAAACACTTTGCTGCTGCTTTTGCTTAAAGAATAGCCGTGCTGCTCTTCAGAAGTAATTCTTATTGTAAAAAAAAAAATAAAATAAAAAAATAAAACACGACATGATCTTTGTATCAGTTTTCAAAATCCCAGCTGCCTTTTTTAAATTGTGAGACATTGTTGTTTTAATATTCTTTAACTTCAGAGCCTCTTCACCAACCAACAGTACAAACTAAACAAAAACTCTCAGAGATTGTTTCTTTTTATTTTATTTTTTTGGTCCATCCAGCAGCTAATTTTCATGAGTCTTTGAGTGTTTTTTAAACTGAAGACTTAAAGTTAAACCTAGAAAATCTGTCTCACTTTATAAAACCTGGGAACCAAAATAAATACAAAACTTGAAGTTTAACAATTCATAATGTAATTGAACACAGTTACAAAAACAATCAATGAATAATTTATTAGAACACAAAAATAATGTGTTTGTTATTTGTTATTTTGTGCTTTTTTATGTTTTGCGACTGTAATTCCTTTTCAGTTTGCAAAAAATACGTCTATGCCGTAACCTGGAGCACTTCATTTTCAATTACTAGTGACGGAAACAAAACAAAGGTCATTTTTCAATAATTATAGTTTGTAGAAGTAAAATCAGGCTCAGCTCAGAGTTTTGCAGAAAGCAGAATCAGAGAAGAAAATGACAAATAAAGTGCTGAAAGAGCACTTTTTAAGTTAATTTACAAACACTAGTTTTAGTGGGGTTCAGTGGGCAGAATGGATCAGGAAAAGGTGAAATAGAAAAATAATTATAACAAGCAAATCATGCATTTACTGTTTTATGTCAAGCTCTTAATCAACGTAAGTTACTAATTTAAATAATAATATTTTTGAAGTTCCTGATGTTGTATTTTTGGTTTTTAGTGTCCTAATGAAATCAGTGGAATAATCACAGGGTTGATGAGTTAAGTCTGACAGTTTGAGGTGGTTGTAAATGGAAGCTGAAGACCAGGGTGGGGTTCGCAGTACCTGATTAAGAGGAACGTCAGCGTTATTCCCCGGAGAGGGGGAGCGGCAGGCGAGGGGGGAGGAGACCTCGCTGTTGGTGCCCTCCTCCCCGGACTCCTCGGTCACGGGGGAGAGGAGCGTGTGGCAGCGGCCGGCCGTCATCTGACCACGGAGACGCACCACACACACCAAAACAAACACGCCACACGAGCACGCAACAGGAGGAGGAGGGACAGCCAGATCGAAGGAGCGAGGAGACAGAGGAAAAAACAAGAGAGAGAAAAAGAGAGAAAAATTAACGAGGGCAGAAAGTTAGGCTGCAAAAAGCAACGTCACTGCTGATCAATAGTAATTAAATATAAATGATGTGATGAATGGATTTACGCTGCAGTGCTTCTGTTAATAAGGAGACATAATCCAGAGCAAACAACAAATCCATCTGGATACATCAGGGTGAAGGACCGCCTCTTTTTCAAAAACTGTCAATCACATGATTACTGCAAAAAAGTCCATCTAACCCAGTTTTACAACTGTAAAAAAAAAGTCACTGATGATGAAGAAATAAATAAACTAAATAAACTAATATTTAGTTT